AAAAAAAAAAGAACATTTCCAAATATACTGTATTTTCAAAACTGTTTTTGCTTTAAACCAATAACAATGAACTGTGAATCACCGAGTTCTGCAGTACTTGGATTTTACAGTCAATTTCAGACCATTTACTGTTGCAGGGAAATGAGGTCCAACTACATTTAATATTTCATTATGCAAAAAAAGGTTTTCAACTCGAAAACAGTACTGATGAATTAAAACAGGTTCTTTCGTTGAAGTTTCTTTTTTAAGAAGTATTAATTTAAGAAAAATGTAATAAGTTATTTGTCACACAATTTGTACACATCTAAGTGGGCTTACTGCAGTGCATCATTGGCAGTGTACTACAGAAGAGCCCTCGGCCAGCTTTTTGCTGGCTACTTGTTGGCTACTCGCATCGTTGTGTAATTGTTTTTGTTGATTTGCGCTTCGTTTTCGAGAAATAACGTATGCAAAAAAAATCAGTTTTCCAAGCGGCATCTTTTGGAGCGAATCCTTAGAAGGTGGACTTGGACGTGACATGAACTTAAACGGATACTTTTAGCAGCTTCAACAGCACATTTTTTTTTAAATAGATGTTTTTATTTCAGAAAGAAGTAGAAAAATAGACCGGAAAAAAAAAATCGAACTGGTGTCACGACAAAACAAACTCGAATCCAGCCCGTTCAGCGCCTTATTCACTTGCACTAACGAAGCAACAGTAAGAGAATAGCGTAATTATATAAATAATAAAACTAGCGGCAAATGCCACGCTTCAGTAACCTCATCGTTTAGCAAAATGAAAGGTTTCTTTTGTTTTCATTCAACAAAAGATCTCCAAAAGATACCCTTGGAAAACTGAGTTTTTTGTATTTTGCATACGTTATTTCTCGAAGATGAAGCGCAAATCAACAAAAACAATTACGTAACAATGCTTTTCATGTCAAAACAAGTCAGTCTACCAAAAATTAGCTCGATACTGCAAAAAATAAAAATCGGCCCAAAATGTTACACGTATATACATGTACGCCCTTTTTGCACGAAAGCCTTCAATTGCTATGTAGTGTTATAGACGGATGAGAATGCAAAATGTTCTTTTAGTTACTCAAAGACAGGCATGTAGGATTGTTACTTGTGCATTGGCCGAAAGCCGTCAATGCAGACTACAACTAATTTGCCCCGATTCTGTTCCAATTCTGTCTGCCTATTTTGTAGATTCAATACTCCAAGTTAATCTCTCAAAGAACACATGGTACAAACAACTTAACATACTCAACGAGAAAATTTTTGTGAAATCAGGAATGTCCAAGCAAAAATCCATGGAAAGTCAAAATAACAAGCTTCTTCATTTCAAAGGAACATACAGAAATCGATAAGTTTATACCAGGTTTTTAGTTCACATACATCTCCATGTGATTGCCGACCGAGCAGCTGTTCAATTGCGCGATGTTAAATTTGCTGGTTTGTTCAAGATAACTTCATCCCAGTATGATTCTCAAGTCTCTGATAACTCTAATAGTTTTGTTCACATTTCACTGCTAGTTGCTAAAAGGCACTAAACAGTTACCTAACACACATCTGTTTCCGCATATCTTGGAATGAAAATAAAAAGGCATGGAAATAGAGAACTTCAATTTTGTCAATTGAAAGTGACTTTCTTTGAAACAACCTTTTCATTCATTTCATACACTTGCCGGTAAAAGTCATCTGTTTTTACCCCCACTCCATTAGCTTCATCAAGTACCCAGCAACTCCCTCTTGAGGATGCAACCATGACTGTGGCTGTCAAATTTCCATAAAAATGGGACAAAAACTGACCAAAAATGACACATCTTTTCTTGTCTCAGTTGCCCCCAAAACAAGTCAGATCTTATCTCCAGCCACAAGGAGCATGGGGGAGCATGGCCCTGTATCCCCCTAGAAGCTCGTGTCCTTTGGACACTCAATTTGCAAGCGCTGGCTACTTTAATTTTTAGCTGATTAGTTTAAAATCTGTGGAGAACACTGCATTGGGCGAGTTTGCTTCGCAATTTGAAGATAAAAGGGAGATACAGTACCAATCAGAAGAAACCTAACAGGGAACGCGTTTAATACATGTTCGGTCAATTTTTGTCCAGCCGGCGATCTTGAGAAAGTGACAGAACAAATCATCTTATGTCTTTTTTTATTTCTTTTTACATGCACTAAGCAAGCATCTTCCCTGCATCTTCTTGTCCATTTCATGTTCATTGCGGCCATTTTGCTATTGTCAACAAGCTCAACTTATGTCCAAATAAGGAAATGGATGGACGAGTTGAGTTAGACTGGGATTGAAAGGTTTCCTCGTGAAGAGCTAGAGAAACAAAACAAAACATCGATGTCTTGGTCGACCTTTATTACGGTGTTGCTGACCAACTTTGCGGAAGGATTGGCGAGGATAACGTTCAGTCTTTACTGAAAATTCGCCTGTGAAAATAACGTCAGTAAAGGTATCACAAAATGCTCACTTTGGCTTTTTGTCAATACTGTGCACCGCTCGAGTCCTCCAGCCAAGTTACTGCCGCATTCGCCGCACAGTTTTCGCCGATACTTCAATGTTAAATCTTTACTAAAAGTATTTGTGTAAATACAAGAGCCCAAAGTTTGTCTTTTGCTTACATTTTTTCATCAATGGTGTTAAAAGCGCTTGGCAAGCTGGTTTACTTCTTCCCTTCCTTGGGCAATCACACAGATTGCCAGTCGCTTCGTATTGTTTCGGAAAAAGGAATTACCCGGAAAAAGACTTGCTATAAACTGGCCTTGAAGTTACAATACCATCTTCCCGTATTTTTCGAGTAACTGGACTCATATTTTCACCAAAATGTAAGTTTCCTGTCCGTATTCTCGCATAAAGGCAACAGTTTTAACCCATTTTATGAAATGCAAATGAGTGGCGCTAATCTTGTAAATGAGTTCTCGGAAACCTCGTTCCTCTCACCAAGTTCCAAGAACACTTACAGATGGAACGCTAACAGAACGGGAACAGAACAGCACAGAACAGATACAGAACGGGAACGGAACGGATACAGAACGGATATAGAACAGATACAGAACGGATACAGAACAGATACAGAACGGATACAGAACGGATACAGAACAAGAACGGGGACGCATGTGGAACGGAAACAGAACGCGTTCGGTCAAGCGTTCCCTGTTAGGTTTCTTCTGATCGGTACTGAAACGTGTACTATAATCAGCAAAATCGTGTTTTCTATGAGTTGAAATAAGCTTAAATATCAAATATTTTAGAAGAGAGACGTACTGTTTATACACTGTATTATTAACAGCCTCAGGGAAATATTTAGGATGGGAACGCAAGAGTACTATCAATATAAATTATGAATCAAGCAGCCGGGCAAAGTTCTGATCACAGGCGGTCAATTTGGCCTGTGCCCTGCACTTCTCCCTTCTCTTTGGAAAGAGGAATTGCATGACAACAAAAGTACAGCTAACAGCCAGAAAGGAGACTATCCCGTGTACAGTTCCTTATGAGACTGCCAGTTTAATACAGGTAAACATGTTTGCAAACACTAGAGAAGAAACCGTATTCACCTGTTGCAATAAAACAGAATTGCTTTTTCCCAATCTTTTGTAGCCTCTTTCATCATCAGGCATCATCCACAAACTGTTGAACATTTAGAAGTATTTTAATTACACTGTATTAAAGAACTGTAATCTTCCTGATGATATTGAAGATCAGGGCAAAATACTTGATATCATGCACTAGCAGTCAGTTGTCCCCAACTGCTCCTGGTTGAAAGACACCTTTTCTGAATGTCTTTTGCTCTGTGGTTGGTAGCAGGATTTTAAAAGATTGACATAGAAATCCCAAAACAGAGTGCATCAACCACTTGTGTGGAAATGCTATACTGTCTTCTAGAATTATTATAGAAGACAGTTTCCCTCTGAGGTCTAAACAGAGAAGGGATGAGGCAGTTCTTTTAACAAGGAAACAATCACCACTGCACAATCAAATTTATGACTGAAATTTCCAAAAACATTTCTGTCAGTTCTGGATACCAGTTTTTATAAAGACAAAACAAATTCAGTTCTTTACATTGACAGTTTTGCTTTGTGCCATCCACCAGGCACGAAACAAGGCTGCATCAAAGGGGAAGCTCTAAGAATTCTCACAAAAAACTTATACAAAATAAATAATTTAAAGAGAAAATTCAGAGAGTCCACAGGAAAATAAGGAATATGACTGATTAATTTAACTGAAAAAGAAAACTGTACTTACCACTTGCTATGACACAGATAACTCCATTCTTTTACAGTCGTCAAGTTTGCCTCTTTTAGGTAGATGAATCAGCCATCCAGAAACTGCTGGAAAAAGCAAAATAAATCAATCCTTTCTTGCTAGTTATCAGAGAGGACAGTGTTACACCCACTCTGTGGGAAATCGAAAGAATCTCCATGGTTAAAACCCGAAATTTCTGGAAATTAAGGGATTGTTTTGGAACACTAGAGGAGAAACTGTACTCACCTGTTGCAATGAAAGAGTTGCTTTTTCCCAATCCTTACGCCTTGCTCCATCATCATGAATCATCCACAAAGCAATGACAGAGGTATTTTAAAGAGCACATGTAAGAGTTATGTATTCTTTCCAGTGACATTGGAAATCTGGACAAAATGAATTAAATCAAGAAAATTAGAAATGATCACCACAGCAGAGTATTTGTTAAAACTCTTACAATCTAAAATTCAGAATAGTCGCTCCACTAATGAAGACACAAAGTGTCAACATTGTTCATGCATTTTCATGCAATGCCTAGTAAAGCCACAAGGTGGTCTGTTCAAAAGCCCTCTTAGATAACTAAATGACAGATTTCCCTACCCATTCATATACCTCAACTTGTGAAATAACTACTCTTTCATATACTTGAAGCCTAAAAACGGTATCCCTTACGGGCGGATCCTCCCTGTATGGGCCATTATAGGTAGTCCCACCTCCCCCCCGGAACGTACATAGCCGCCATGCTTTTTTCGTACATGTACATTGAATCGATGTGTGCCATTTGAGGTGGTAGACCAAAACAAATTTTCCAAGCCACAAAAAACTAAATTTAAACAGCTAAACGAATGTAATATTATATTTCAGGCCCATTATGAGAAAGGGAACCATCCACAGGCTTGCAAATCCAAATGCTTGTTGCAAACAATCACTTGAAGGGCATTCGTTTGCTAGGACTTACCTTGATTTTGCCTCTTAAAAAATGCATTGTCCAGACAAGGCGAAAGGTATTTCGTATTCTTTCGCAGCTTGTGAGTTTCTCAAACATTCCAACTCCACGTAAAACAGAAACGTTTTCCCAATCCATAAGCTGCCCTATACTACTCCATTTTGAAACGGAACAAGACAACACGTGCAGAAATGTTTGAATAAATTAATTTTGCATAATGTATGAAGAATTATTGGTCAAATGCAAATTATGAAAAAGTGC